AAGAGTTATTTGTACTTTCAGGACTAGGCTGGCAGGGTCTAATGGATTGCCTTCAAGTGCGTGTAAAGCTGATTTAACTTTGCAGTGAACGATTCTGCCGTCTGAGTAAGATGCAATTGAGGGGCTGCAAGAGTTTGACAACGCTAGGGGCTCCTGGCTTTGCTACTATAGGCGTAGGGGGGGCCCCTGGCCTTACTACTACGAGCACGAGGCTATCGCGCACGGCTCTGAGCTCAGTTGTACCCTGTCAGGTCATGTTGCGCCGGAGACTTTGAGGCTCAGAACATCGGGCAGTGGGCGCTTCTGTCATGGAGAGCTTAGACATTGGGCATGACGCTGCGGAACGCCGCTTGCGCGCCATTGAGGCGCTGGATGCCGACTTCCATGGCCTGCTGCAGCTCAAAGGGTTGTCGGAGGTTCTGCAAGCGAAGTTGGCTGTGGCAAGGGTGCGCACCATCGCCCGGTTCGCAGCGATGGCGGACAGTCGATCCGCGATGCGCCAGTTCGGCAATGAGGTTCTAGCACTGGATCCATTGAGGGATTTGGTGGAAGTGGCCGCACTGGTCGACGCCTGGGAATCGGCCACCTTGAGAGTGGCAGTGCGAAACCAGGCGGTGTCGGAGGCAAAGGTCAGCGCCCTGCCCAGGGCAGTTCCAAAGGTTGAGACATCGAACCTCAAGGAGAAGTTTGAGGCAGTGCACAACATCAAGCTGGAGGACCGAGCCACTCCAGCGCCTTCCACATTGGAGCAGATGTTTGAACAGATTGAACAAGGAGAGTTGAAGAACATGAGCATCGTCCAGTTCGTCAGCCGTGAGGACGCGGAGGCAGAAATTCTCGGTGCAACTATTGATAAGAGCACCGGGAACCTCAAGGTGAAGAAAGGCTATGGCGAATGCGCCAAGCCCACGACTCCAGAGGAGTTCCGGGCTAGAGCAAATGTGATGGCAAACACCTACTTGATGGCACAAATCAAGTATCCTCAGAAAGCCTTGTTGAAGGGCCTTCGCCGTCGTGATTTTCAAGAATATGTAAACTACTTGATGGGTGACTCTGTCCTGGGTCTGCAGGCTCGGGATCAACATGGGCAAGTGGTGTCAGCGCCCTCATTCGAGCTGGCACTCTCTTATGATTTTCAGCTTCGTCGCTTGGCTGTCCGGCTCGCAAATGAGGGAGCCACCTTTGCACAAGCCCTGAGGCAAGCGCGAGATGATCTTCCTACAAAGGAGCGCTATTTCCTTACACCCAATGCCTGCGCACCGGTCGCGTGTGCCACCAACGCGGCAAGCCGTTCCCGCAGTCCTCCACAGCGAACGCCCGGCATGATGTCACCCCAGAGGGCCAGCAGATCTGCTGGCGCTGGAACCATCCTCGTCAGCGGTGCCGTTACAACTGCGGTCGAGCTCATGTATGTCAGCAGTGTTTTGGGCCTCATCCATGCCATGCCTGCGACCGCTCCGGTCCGGGCGCTTCAGGCTGACGAGTTTCAAGACTACAGGGCTCCCCTCACCTCCCTGGGGGAGTCCTTACACACCAGTGCACCACGAAGGGGAGCTGCGAATTCAACCTGGTGGACACCCTTCTCGGGCCAGCTAAAGTGGGGGAAGGGCTTCTTTGCCCGCGAAGGGGGTGAGGCTTTGCACTAGGGCTTCTTTGCCCGCGAAGGGGGTGAGGCTTTGCGCTTCAAGGGGGTGAGGCTTTGCACTTCTTTGCTTGGCACTCCTTTGCCCGTGAAGGGGTGAGACTTTGCATGTAGAAGGCAGAGAGACAGATAGAGGCAGAGAGAGAGGCGGCATGGCCATGATAGACCACAAAGAGAGAGACAGAGGGCAGAGAGAGAGGCGGCATGGCCATGATAGACCACAAAGAGACAGAGACAGAGGCGAGGCTTTGCACTTCTTTGCTTTGCGCTCCTTTGCCCGCGAAGGGGGTGAGGCTTTGCGTGTAGAAGATAGATATTTATAGAGGCAGAGAGAGAGAGGCAGCATGGCCACGATAGACCACAAAGAGACAGAGAGAGAGGTGATGTGGCGGCATGACCTTGACAGAATGCAAAGAGACAGCCAGAATAGACCACAAGAAGAGAGAATGGCCAGGATAGAGGCGATGGGGCCTTGATAGAGCGCGAGAAAGAAATCAGGGCCATGGTAGACTGCAAGAAGAGAGTTTGGCCAAGGCAGAAGGCAAGAAGAGAGATTGGCCAAGACAGAAGGCAAGAGGCGGCGTGGCCATTATGACAGAGTGAGACAGAGACAGAGGCGACGTGGCCGTAATAGGCGGCAGAGAGACAGAGAGAGAGAGAGATCGGCCAAGACAGAAGACAAGAGGAGAGATTGGCCGAGATAGAAGGCAGGGAGAGAGACCTGATAGAGAGGCGGCGTGGCCACGAAGGAATGCACGAAAAGAGTCTTGGATTGAGACAGAGAGTTGGCGCGGCCATGATAGAACACAGGAGAAGAGACTTCGTGCAGTTGCCAGGTTGGAACACGTGGAAGAGAGATTTGGCTCAGATAGAATGCGAGGAGAGAAGTTCAATAGAATGCAAGAGGATAGTTCGGCCAAGATAGAAAGCAAGAATTGGCCGAGTTAGACGCCGAGAGAGATGAGCGAAACATAGCAACACCATTTATCTGGCCAAAGGGCCAAGATAGAATGCAAGAAGACGGACTTGATGGAATGGCAATGCGGCCATAATAGGAGGCAAAAGAAGGGATTCGGGCAGAAGGAGAGAGAGATAGAGATTCGTGGCTGCCTTTTGCCCGCGCTTCCTTCCCATGCTCTTCCTCCCACTCGCGTCCAGGTTCCTGGGCACGGAGGGCTGGAGAAGTTTGAGAATGCCACCTTGCAGAAGGAGGTCCTCACAGAGAGCTGGTCATGAGGAGAGGCGCGGGGGACCTAAACTAAACACAACAATAGACGTGTCGTGGTGTGATGCTTTCTCCCAGTATGTAGCACCTAGAGAGCGGGGAGTGCAGGCCTCGCTACTAGCTAAAGTGGGGGAAAGAGTAGCAAGGCCATGCAATAAACCCTCCTTGTGTTGACAAGGGGGGAATGTGGGCATCATT